GGGCGGCGTTGAAGGCGGCGGCGAAGTTGGCGGCTCTCGCAGTGGGCCCGGGCGACTTCGTCCTGCAGGGCCTCGACTTGGCACAGGAGCCCCTCGCACTGCCCCCGCCACAGCCCCGCCAGGGCCTTTCCTCGGTGAAACCACCGGAGGGGATGGGGGGTCGACCCCTCGAAAAGGATTTTTTCCCCTTCAGAACCCCCAAAAAAGACCTTTTCCCCTTCCAATCCCTCGAAAAAGGACTTTTCCCGTTCAGAACCCTCAAAAAAGACCTTTTCCCGCTCAGATTCCTCAAAAGGGACCTTTTCCCCTTCCAATCCCTCGAAAAGGACCTTTTCTCCTTCAGAACCCTCAAAAAAGACCTGTTCCCGTCCAGGACGCTCTAAACCTGTCTTTTCCGCTTCAGAATGCGGGGCCGATCCCTCGAAACCGACCCTTTCCCGTTCGGAACTCTCTAACGATATCCTTTCCCGCTCCGATCCCTCGAAACCCATCGTTTCCCGTCTACAATGTGGGGTCGAACCCTCTAAAGACATTTATGGCCTGCGCCGAATGCTGTGCGGATCGGGCGGCGGGTGGCTCCACGCTGAACGGTAAATCGCGACCCCCCACACCAACCACGCAAGGCATAGAATCGCCCTGTGGTTATCAATAATCGCTTAACGCTTGGAGAAAATGGAGAATTAGCAGTCGTGGGGTTCACATATTAAAAAAAAAAAACGCTTTACATCACCATTGCCATAGTTTAAGAAGTGTATTTTATTTCAATAATTCATCTAGATATATATATATATAAATGGATAGATAGATATAGATATATTTATATGAATGGTTAAAGGTAGACTAGTACAAGAAAAATACATATACAATTCCTGAAAAAAATGAAGCAATTGTTGAAAAGAAACGCACCGATAGATTGAAATTAAAACTACTTCTTCCAAGAATACATCAATCTTCCTTCACAGATTTGTGAGGAACATAAAACAAGAATGGGATTTTCACTGTTGATATTTTTGAGCTATCATGTGAATATGATAAGAAAGCAGTATAAAGGTATAAGCTTTCTCAGAACTCTATAGTAGTTTGGTGAAAAAATAAGGGCATGCCAATCATAAACTACATCATGCTTCAACACATTAATAAAATTACCGACATATATTTAGGTATTTTAAAAAATTAACGGGTGATAGCAGGTTGAGCTAATATTTTAGGAGCCTTCTATAACTAAGAATTCAAGGTTATTTTTAACAGACTCAAGTAAATTTTCCATGGTAATGGTAGAAAAATTTCCAATAATTTTCTTTAAAAGAAAAAAGGCGAATTCATCAAAAATGCTGAATATATAGATATATATATATATATATGTGTGTGAGTGTGTACAATCTGGATAGATGGTATCATTAGCAAGATAAAACTGATATAGGTATCGCAACAATAATACAAATAAAAACACAACTACAATGATAAAAGCATATTTATAAGAGAAGCTACTTAATAAAAAGGAACGAAGGGTCCTATTGCAATCATGTAAACTATATAACATCATCAGGACTCCATGGACAGTAATAAAAAATAGTAATAGGGATAAATCGATGCCCTTTGAAATATGCAGTCCTATAAAAATTGAACGACCGAATAGTAATTAAAAAAAAATGTTAGCTTTCTATCTCTATAATTCAGTACATGTGATTCAATTATATGGGGGGTAATTATAGATTGAAGCATAAGCAACCTAATCTTAGAAGTGTAAAGAAATCAAGTACAATTCTGAAGTCAAAAACAGTCCGTGCAAAATTAAAAAAAAAAAGCTGTGTGAGAATCCAATCGAGGCAGAATATCCTGGTAATTCCCTGGCTGCTGTTCGCATGCCGACATGCACAGAAAAAAAAAAAAGAAATAAAAGATCGCTCATCGCGGTGTGTCAAATCTCCCCCAACGCACCCTTGTCGACCTTCACCTTGAGGAGGTTTTCCCCCACGCCGATACATTAATGGGGGGGAGGGGGCTGAAGCCGTCGCGGGAAGTCGCGCTAGCGTGAATTGAGTGCGGCCTTGACCTTTCGCTGAAGTTGATGGGCCATCTCGTTGGATTTGGCGTTCTGGAGATTCCCCATCGCGGCCAGGTGGCCCTTGAGGTAGACCTGCTGAGAGAGCTTCGAGCGGTTCGCGATGTGCTCGACCTTCTTGACGAGCATCCGCTCCCGCGCGAGGGCTTCTTTCTGTAGGTTCACAAAGCGAAGGGGACGAGGGGCGCGATCGCCATCCTCGAGTGGGTGGAGGTGGGGGACCATTCGATATTTCAGCCGTGAGGCCACCCCTTCCGCGGCTCGCGAGAAACTCGCCGGCAGACTCGGCGTAGCCGGCAGTCGGTAGGGCGGTAAACATGGTGGAACCTTCGCCCTCGGCGATCCATTCGGGGGGTTGGCGCCCGTGCGGGTTTCGTGTTCCTCCCTGGTGTCGTGACTTCGGGCGAAGGAAGAAAAACACTCGCTTCTCGGACTCGACAGAGCGAAAGGCAAGGAAAAGGGGGCGTTTTTCTCCCCGCCGAGGGGGTTCCCCTCGGCTTCGTCGTCATCGGAGTCCTTCTCCGAGAGTACCGCATTAGCGTACTCGAGGATGAAGGGCGAGACGGAAAGAACCTGGTGCCCATTTCCACGCCGCCCGGCCCCGTTGCTTTGCGGGGGGTTCAAATGTTTAATTTCACTCCCCAACGAAGGGATGCTGAGCTCCGAGGTGGTGGAGCGGGGGTGCCTGGGATTCCCCCGCCGCTCTCTCGCGGTCTCCATGCCGGAAAAGTTCACGTTCCGCGGGATCTTGACATCAAAGGAGACTCTGGACTCCATCTCGGTGAGTTGTCGGAAGGTGCAGGAAGTCTGACTCGCGAGGAGGTCCCCCCCACACGAAAAACGCTCCCGCACAATGGATGCTAAAGGGTTAAATTCCGTCATGAAAGTCCGTTTTCGCGGGGACTGGTCCTCCTCCCCCTTCCACCCCTTTCCTTCTTTATACAAAGCCGACTCAACCATGGAGGTGGAGCGGCTGGTGAAGGTTTGGGAGAACGACGCCTGTCCGGTAGGAGGAACCCCTCCCCCTCGCCCTCGTGCTCGTTGTTTTTGCTGAAGAGTGACGAGGTAGGCCGCGCGGGCGGCGTCCGCGTGGGACTCCGGAATGGGCACCGCCGCGTAGCGAATCCCGCAGCGCAGGCAAAGGTACTCCCGCGTTTCACTGGCGCAGGTTACGAGGGGGTAGGTGGAGAGGAGGTAGGAGGTCGGGGCCCCCGGTGATACCGGGTCTCTTTCCCTCCGAGAAGACCTCATGGGTGACACTGAGGCTTTTCGGCTCTTACGGGGCTCTGTGGGTGACACACTGTCCTTTTCTCGCCTCGAAGAGCCTGTGGGTGATACCGAGTCTTTTCGCTTCTTAAGAGTCTCAGTGGGTGATACCGCGTCCTTTCCTTTTTTAGGGGGTTCTGTAGGTAACACAGTGTTCTTTTCTCGCCTCGAAGAGCCTGTGGGTGACACCGCGTTCTTTCCTTTCTTAAGAGTCTCAGTGGGTGACACCGCGTTCTTTCCTTTCTTACGGGGTTCTGTGGGTGACACACTGTCCTTTTCTCGCCTCGAAGAGCCTGTGGGTGACACCGCGTTCTTTTCCTGCTTAGAGGGCTCTGTAGGTGACACAGTCTCCT